ACAATCCCCAGAGCTATGCTTTTTTTCTGCTGTGATTTTACTCTCATGGAGGGAGGCAACAAGCAAGGAGACAAGCTCTCAAGTAAGGAGTCTAGTTAGGAGACTGATGAAATCATTGTAGGGTCAGTAGCACCCATCAGAATTTTGAGGTTGAGCACAAAAAGGAAAACATGACCAAAAGAAACGTTGTCCAAACCACCTTAGTTAAGAGCTACTTAACAAGATGCAAATCCACTCTGACCTAATCCTAAAATGTGAACAGCAGAACTGAGAAAACTGCAGGCTACCAATGGAAAGAGATGTGAGGATGGCGAGACTGTCTGGAAGGACAGAAGTGATACTTTCAGTTTATTACATGTAAGACCAGGAGGTCTACTATTTTGTTATTATTTAAATGCACATATTGGGTAGAAAGTTAGAATTGAGGAAATGGAATCAGATGAACAGCCAGCCATGCTTGGTAGGGTTCTTGTAGCTGTGAGAAAGGTTCATGTATCTCAAGGAAAGAACATAAGAGCCACAGCCATCCTTCACACACCTCAACTTTCCATCAATATCATGTCCCATTTACTACTTGGATATGCTTTGACAATATTGCTAGAATGTTTTTTGTTTGGAACTTACTAAACCTGACGAAAAAAAGTTGTGTAAATTTTAAAGGAATTGAATTCTAACATGAAGTCAACTCCAGCATGGCTTTCTGGATATGCTGATTTTGATAATTTTGAAAGTCTCCTTTACATTTGGAACCAGTATCTCCAGATTTAATTCCCAGCCTCAGGAATTTTTCTCCTTTACTAGATCTTGCATTGACTTCAAACAAAAATGTGATCACAAATGAGAAACTACCTTTACTCTTCAAACAGCTTCATCTCTTCCTACCCTTCCATCCACCCAGGAAGGTTCTAATATGGCACTTTTGGTGCTGTATGAGAAAATATGATGCTTAATAGTTGTCTCCCTACTTGTTTCTATTTCTAACATCTTTTATTGAAAGGAAAATTGAATTTTGTATAGGTGGTTAGATACAAATACTGCTCATTTACCAATTTAGATATTATAATGAGTTCTTGTTAAACATTTGGTATTAAATTATGTTGTCTCAAAATAGTATCTAGATTAGCCAGGCATGGTGGTGCACACCTTTAACCTCAGTAGGCTGATCTCTGTGAATGTATAGCCAGCCTGATCTACATAGTAAATTGCAGGCCTGCTAGGACTACATAGTGAGACCCTGACTCAAAAAAATATCTAGAAGACAAAAATAGAGATAAAAGTAGAGGACCTTAGACTCTTTTGCTGTTCATTTGTTGGTTTATAGGGTCTCATTTTATAGTCCACAGTAACCTTAAACTCATGGTCATCCATCTTGCTCAAAAGTATCAAATGTAGACAAACACTGCACACCTGAGCATGATCGAATCTTCTACCTTGATGACAAATGAGGTAGAGAGGATAAAGGACGGCAAGAAGATCTAGATAAAGAGACTAAGTCCCCAAATTGGAAAATTCAATTCTATCAAAGTACTTGGCAAAAAGAAGTTATCCATGGAAGGAAACAATCTAGGGAGACATTTTAAACAGTAAGGGAGAAGGACCTGGTGGGATAGCACAGTGGTTAAGAGCACTTGTTCTTCTAGAAGACCTGGATTCAGTTCCTAATGTCCATATGGTGGCTAACAAACATCTGTAATTCCAGCTCAGGGGATCCAGTGCCCTCTTCTGACCTCTGCAGGCACCAGGCATGAAAGTGCATGCAGGCAAAACACCCATACGCATAAATTTTTAAAAATGATTTTAAAATTCAAAAACAGAATAAGGGACTGTTATACAGTGAAACATGATACAGGGAGGGTGTGAATAAAGAAACACCTGGGACTGTGACAAGATTAAAAGCATCCTTGTGAAGTATAAGTGGCATGAACGGTGGTAACTCTCATTCTTACGAGGTATAGAAGAGCAACAATAAAAATTCTGTTAGCTGACTTGCTGTGTAGCTGCTCACTTCTTAGCTATTGATCAAGTTAGAAGTTCTTCTTCAACTCCATTGCTCCATTGGTCATTAAGCAACAATCTTCCTCTCTGGGCCCCAGGGCCAGTCTTTCATATGGAGCCAAAGGTCACCTCTTCCCAGCTGTCTCTGAGCACTAATCCTTGCCTTCCCTGAGTTCCATTTCAGAAATTAAAAACAGAAACCTTGCCCAACTGGTTTTTGAAGAAGCAGTTCCACTTGCTGTTTCTTTTTATCTTTTGTTTTCCAACACGTTTATTTTTTAAATTCAACTTTTATTGTGAAGTAGATAATCCATTTACAAAGTTTAAAGATCAAAACTGTAAGAGGTATAAAGTTCCATTCCATTTTTTTGATGTTGGAGGGTTCCATTGTTGTCAGTCATACTTCTGGCCCCCATCACTTTCATTTACTTTCTTCCTGTATATAGTTTCCTTTCCTCTTCAGTGGGTCTTATAAGAATGGGTTTCATCCTGACTTTTCCATACACAAATACAAGGGATTTTGATCAGATTCACCATTATCTTCTCTTGTGCCCATCCTACTTCTGTTTACCTTTCCTCTTCCAAACTAATTCCCATCTGCTTTGTGTGTGTGTGTGTGTGTGTGTAGGGTGACTTTAATAAGGATTATTTATAGGAACATGAGTAATTTAGCAGTGGTTCTTTAGGTGAAACACACATACACAAACTTACCATCACCCTGTTTTTTAACATAAAGGAGCACACAATGGGCACCCTATTTCAGATCTTGGTTTTCTAACCTAACGGTGAGATTTCTTCTCAGTAAAAAGAGACTATTTTTTGAGATGGGATCACCCTATCTTTGATCCACACTTTCACCTTTAATGTTTTGCACACTCAACATGTATAGGCTTTATAAGTGGAGGGTCATATATACTTTGAAAAATACTTTCAAGGTATTTTGGCACATGCCTCTCTCTGGAATAGTGGCAAAGAGACACACATTGGTTTATACCTCAGCACAAATATTTATTTCCTCTGGTAATGCTGGTCTTTAGAGGAAAAGTAGCTCAGGATTTGTCTTCTCTTTGCCCCAGGCTCTCTGCCTAATGGGGATGTTCCACTGGATTGGTGTGTGTGTGGGTTCTTTGGCAGCAGGCTAAATAGTCACAGAAAGTGGAACTTCCAAAGGATTAAAGTTAGGTGGTCATTTTCATCTGTCTGGATGTACCCTTTTGTTCAGGCCTCCCTTTGAAGTAGCTATGCCTAGAATCAGAGGCTCTCAGCTTCAAGACAATGTTCTTTCCATTTTTTTCCCTCTAGCACTCATAGGATGAGACTTTGTTACATCAGTGTAAGACCTAAACATAGAATATGGGCTTTGATCTTGCATCTTAATAGACCCCTATTATCCAATTTCAAATATGTGAGACTGAACAAAGAGGGTATTTGACCTAAGTTTCAATTTCTTCATTTGTCAAAATGGAACCAATCATACAGACTTTACACAGTTGATGTAAAGGTTAAGTGACAATGTGTGCAAAACACTAACACAATGCCTAGCTACCATACAGGTACTCAATAAAAAGGTGTTATGTTACTGCTATTGCTGAGGACAGTATAATGTTTGAAAGTAGAGGCTTTGGAGTTAGACTGCTCCCTCTCTGACCTTGGTCCAGATTTGATTGAGCATTTTTTTTTTGCCACAGGTAAGTTAACTAACCCCAATTTCCTTAATCATAAAAACATGTTTAAGTAGAACATCTCTTATTTATGCAGATTTCATTTGTAAGGTGCTTATCACTAAGCCCAATGTCTAAGTAACTCCTGTACCTTAAATGCACTTTAAAACCCAAACCCAACTACACTTAGATGATTTCTGCTCCTTCAGTTAAAGTAGGTGGTACCTCTTCATATATTTCCTTATAACAATTTATCTATAAAAGTGCATATACAGTATAGTACATTTGAAATGTGTTGAGAGTAAATTTCATGTTGTATTTTTTCCTCAAAATTTAAAATTTGTACTCATGGAAGAGTTTTTATAAGGTATCATTTTGAGCATGACATGTCCCGAGGTTTACATTTTTACTTGTCTTTAATGTTAACATACAAATCAGAACAGCACCTGTACATAGTGCTGTCAACCAGATGCAGTGTGAGCAATACCATATTGGACTCAAATACTGCCCTATCGAGACAGCACTGCTCTAACCTTTGATCATATATTTCCTCTATGAATACATGTGAACACCAAAAGATTTACTATGCGCCTGACTAAAGACGTGTAAAGGATGGTAAGCATTTTTTCCTTTGGAATACAGCTGAGCCCTGGCTCAAGTCAGAAACATCTGACTCCAGATATAACCACTGCATTTATGCACATGGTTCTCTTTTCTTTTCTTTCTGTATTATGCTGTTTTTAAAATAGTAATCAGAAAAGGGTGATCATATGCCTTGTGGATCCTGGTCTGTTACCACTGACTAAATGTAAGCACTTTTAAAAACAGTCCAAGACTCAAATAAAGACATAAATGTATTTATACTAAGTAATGGGAAGAAAAACTATCAAAATAAATAAATGTAAATTATAAATTTGGGATTTTAGTTTTCTTCTAATGTTTAGATTTACAGCTAAACCTTCACTCTAAGAAAAAAAATAAGGCCATAAATCTGGAAACATTGAGCTTTCCTGGACAATCATACATGTTTTACAAATGCCTAATTCCTATCTGAACAACTAAAGTAGAAAGATGTCAAAAGATACAGAGGGTGACAGAGCTGAGGGTACCAAGTAATTAACTTCTTCCTTAAGTCCAAAGCCAATAGCTGTTCTTTATCTTAATTCAGCCCCGTATCAAGAAATCACCTAAGCTCCAACATAGAAACACATCAGATAAAAATTTAAGTCAGAAATGTCTGTGATCTTGTTTCTAGTGAACATCACTGATATTCTTAAAGCTTCCCAGGAATCTCTGTGGACAGAGATGGTAGTTACTACTTCAACACAAAACAAACAAAACAAATTTTATATTGAAAAATGTTTTTAATTTCCAAGCCAAGGAGAGTACATGAAGAATTAATTACACAAGAAACTAAAATTGCATAATTGATGGTGGATAATCTAATCAAAACACTTATTAAACACAGATCACATTATTGGACACTAATGTACTCCCTATGAACATAATGACTTCTGAGCTTTGATTCTAGAGCTTGGGGTCAAATAATACAGAATTAGCTTCTCATATATTAGTATAAATGCACATAAAACACCTGAATTGCCTGAATAATATATTCATAGATGTTTAGTCAACAGATCTAGAGTGGGGCTTATTCTAACCAGTTCCTAGGTGATGGAGATGCTAGACTAGAAATACAAATAGCCAGACAGGCATAGAAATGGGTTCTTGGAAATCTGAATGGAGCATTCATTGCATGAGCATCAAGCAGGGACCAGATCTTTCTGTGTGTGATTGTTGGAAAAGGCTTCACATAGGAGGTTGGAGTGAGCCTTGTTCCTCTAGTAACCACAAGAGGACAGCAAAGAGGGCTACACCACAGTTCAGTGATTGAGCTGGTATGAGCTGGATAGGCCATCCAAACTTTCTGACCCTGTTTCCTTTTTCACCTGTAAAATAAAAAATTGAGAACATTAGATTCTTCACAGCCCTGAAACGAAGACTAATGAGAAATAAGGATGGCATGTAGCTCACTTGCCTACATGTAGAGCACTTGCCTAACATATGCAAGGTCCTGGACTTCATCCTCAACTCTTAAAATTATCTGTAAATCACTATCTGCTTATAAGTTAAAGAAATATAGTACAAAATGTTCTATTAATGAGTCTAACAAAGCAGACTACACTTTACAACTGAAAGTGTGACATGCTGTAACAAAACAGCACTTAAGTCCTAAGTGCCACTTATCCTTTTTTCCCTACTCAACTGCCTAGTTATGGTGAGGTGTATGGCTCTTATCACTAAACTATTTTAAAAAGCGTCACATCCACTTTGTTCAGCACAATGATACTTAACATTTATAAATTACTTTTCACTTCCAATGGACACAACAAACATCAGTTAATTAGTTGTCACACAACTGAAGTTATTTTATCATTAGTCTAATTACAAGTGGACCAGATTAAACTGAAGCAGTGAAGGCAGGTGACAGGAGGATCAGAGCCCGAGTGAGAATGCTGAGGGTTCTACCAATTATGCTCGCCATTTGTAGGTGAAAACAAACCTTCACCAAAATACGAAATCACTAAAAAAGGAAAAAAATTCAGTTTCTGAACATCTTCCTACTAAGAGCCACAGTGTCATATAAGGAAAGGGATGAACTACAATGGCTTATCTCTACTCCTCCCCAATGTTCTGTAAATACCAAATAACAAAAACAAGTCAATAAACAGTGAAGGAAATATTTCACTTATCAAAAAGGTTTTCACTATTAAGATTTATGGTGCTGTTCCAAATACCTGAGAAAAACCAACTTTTAAGAAGGAAACTTTATTTCAGTTCGTGTTCTTAAAGGTTTCAGTACATGATCAACTGATTCATTGCTTCCAGGCCTGTGGCGAGACATCTTGGCATGGAATTGGAAATACAGCAAAGCTGTTTACCTAATAGTGCTTGGGAAGCATAAAGAGAGGGAGAAGTGTTGCTGCTCCAAATATCCCTTTGAAGAGCATACCGGTAATGACCTTCACTAGACCCTGTTTCCTAAAAGTTCCACCATCTCCTGGCAGCACCATGGGCTGGTGACCAAACACATGCACTTTAAAAAAATTATGTATAGTTGGGAGGTGGTGGTGCACACCTTTAATCCTAGCACTCAGCAGGCAGAGACAGGTGGATCTCTTAGAGTTTGAGGCCAGCCTGATCTACAAAGTGAGCTCTAGGACAGCCAGGGCTGTTACACAGAGAAACCCTGCCTCAGAAAACAAACAAAATATTCTTTTGTAATTTTATATATTAATACAATGTATTTAGATCATATTCACCTCCCAATTCCTCCCAGGCCTCCCACCATATCTCCCTTTCAACAGTTAGGGGTAGAGTCTCATAAGCCTTACCCTTATCTATGTTGGAGTGTTGACCAACTTGGCTGACCTTGTTCAAGTATCAGGCAGGCAATCACAGTGTTGGAGAGTTGATTGGCTTGATCTTGTGCAAATGCTGGGCAGGCAACTACAGTTGCTCAGTTTAGGAGTATAAGGACTCTGTTATGTTCAGAAGACACTACTTCATAGTAGTCCTCCCTGACTTCTAGTTCTTACAATCTTTCTGCCCCACTTCCTCAATGTTCCCTAAGCCTTGGGGGAAAAATATAATACAGATGTTCCAAATATAGACCTTCTAAAACTTTTATTATTGTGAGAGGCCTCACATGTCATGGCACATGTGTGGAGGTTAGAGGACAGCTATGTGTAACTGATTTTTTACTTCTACCTTTATGTGGGTTCAAACATAGGTTGCCAGTCTTGTACAGCAAACCCTTTTATCTGCTGAGCCTAACACATGTACCTTTGAAAGATACTGCAGATTGAAGTTATAATGCATGACCATCATTCACATGAAGGCTGGCTTTTTCAGTGTTTTACTTTAAACAAAACTGTTTTAAGGATCCTGTGCTGTTTTTGAAGTAGTACAGTATTTATGGACACAACACAGAAATCAGGAGATTGCAGGAAACCAATCCATACATCTACATCATACCTCTTGCATCTATCTTTTAAACATTCATTCTCTGGGAATTTCATGTGACACATTTTGAACATATTTACCCTTTTCACCAAACTCCTCCCATAACTACCTTCTCTATCCTCTCATTCCTTCTCATTCAGTTTTGAGATTTGTTTTTCTTCCATCAAGTACAATTTGTGTTGTTAGCTAGTTTGGAAGTGTGACCTGTCAGAGCCTATGGTCAACCTACCAAGGGTCATGTCATTAAAGAATCCTGATCCTCTCTCTCAGCAGTCATCAAATGCCAGTAGCATCTTAGCTAGTGGTGGGATTTTGTGCCTCCTTTCCCCTTCTGTACTGTGATCTTTTATCTGACTGGAGCTTGCACAAGTCTTGTGCATGGGGTTACAATCACTCTAAGTTCATGTGTATAACTGCCCGTTTGTATCCAGCATATAGTTCCCTTGATTATCCACCACCTCTGGATCTTTCCAAGTCCTCTTCCAAGAAGATCCCTGAGCTTTGTAGGGATCAGTGTGATGCAGATGTCCCATTTAGGGTCGAGCACTCACCAGTCTATACTCTGCACATTCATTGCCATCAACTGCAAAGGAGATGCTTTTCAAAGATAAAATGTTTTCTAGAGTGGGTTTTTAAAAAAGATTTATTTATTATATATACAGTGCTCTGCCTGCATGTATGCCTGCATACCAGAAGAGGGCATCAGATATCATTATAAATGGTTGTGGGTCACCATGTGGTTCCTGGGAATTGAACTCAGGTCCTCTGGATGAGCAGTCAATGCTCTTAACCTCTGAGCCATCTCTCCAGCATTACAATGGGTTTTGAAGGCATCTTGAATCTAGAGCTTGGAGAACTAACAGTATAGAATGAGCTTCTCAAATTTTAATGTGCATCAAAATCACATTCCCTTTTATATACAAAACTTAAATATATCTTTTATGAGAAAAACCAAAGTTTAGACATGAAGAATTATCCAATAGGAAGTAATTTTATTATTGTGTTGTCATTTCTGCTTGTTCCCAATGCTCCGAATGTTCTTACTGTGCTTGCAGAACCTTTATAAGTGGAAATAAACATAATGTTATATCTTTTAAAACTAACTTGCACTTTCAGTATTTGTTTTATGAGCTAGGAAAGAAGTATAAAAACTGGTAAATTTGACAATTAAAAATATCATCTACTTTTATAAATCTGAAAGAAAGTTTATTACAATTCTTTATTTTTTGAGAGGCTCTCACTATGTAGCCCAGGTCTTCCTGGAACTCAATGCATAACCTACGCTGGCCTTGAATTTCCAAGTGCTGGGATTACAACTGAATATGCTACACACAGCTTTTTTTTTTTACTATGGAAGAGAAAGATGCCTAATCTTAGCAAATATTCAGTCATAATAAAATGTGACTTATTTTACCAAAGAAAACATTATGATAGAAATTCCTTATATTAAAATATGTTTCTTCCTTTTTATTTCTTCAGAGTACCTTGCATTTATAAACATGCACATATATACATCAAATACATATACACTCACTCAGCATATAGTTAGTTTCTCACTAATATGACACATAGATTAAACTACTTTATTTTGTTTTTAAAATTAAAAATTGTGTAACAAAACACCCAAAAGGAAAATAAAAACTGCATCAAATTTTGGTGCATGTATAAAATATAGAAGTACTCTTCAAAAAGTTAGTGTTGAGCCATTTTAATTTTAACATTTATTGCAAAGCACATTTTATAAACACTAGATAAATTTACATATAAAAGCTACACATAAATATATAGACCCAAAAGAAAAATAGCAGTACTATTAATGCAAGTAAACTAATAAGATGTTTAAACAAATATGACAATAAAAATCATTTTCATTGCTATTTATTTTTCATAAATTTAAAAACTACTCAGAAATGAAATGTAGTTAGTATATCATGATTACTATCGAAGTTTAGAATTACAGAAACAACTAACACAGAACTACTTATTTTAAAAATCTTTCAAATATTCAACAGTCAACTGACAATTATTAATGTCAGTAAATAGTCAACATCAATAAAAGTTCTTATCTAACTGAATAGAAAATTTTAGGCTTTGTTTAACAGGCTAAATTTGGTGGAAAAATCTTAATGTCTCCTTTACATTATATTCCTGAGTTTTTGCACAACGTTACAGATAAGATAAAAAACTTAATGTATAGCTTTGTATAACATTGCATTTTAGTTCTGAAAAAAAAACAAGTATTGAGATTATTTTAAATGTGAATAATAACATTTAATAACCAAGACAGAAAAGAATGCATTTACTTTAGCTTAGCTCAGGGAAATGTTAATGCCTCTGACCACAATTTGTAAAGATCATTTGTAAAATATGACAGAAATTCTATTATATTATACCTGCCAGAAGTTTTTATTTGTACCTCATGAGATCATATTGACTTTGTAGAACACGATGCTTTTATAAAAGAAATGCTCAAATGATGACAGTCAGCACAAGGCTAGGCACAGTGTAGGTGTTCGGTATTATTAATTTAGCATAACAAAGTATTATTTCTACACATTAACAGTTCAACAGGTAGTTATAAGTTGATTTAAAGCATTTTAAACATGAAAATACACTTTTAGTAACAACCATAAGAGGAATTTTTATAAGTGGCCATTTTCAGTCTTAGTTTTATAAAAATAGTTTCCGATTCCTTTAAATAGGCTTAAGAAAGCTGCCCCTGCTTGTTGCTAAATGTGGTAAGCCCAACCTATTAACACCTTCAGAACTGATTAGTTTAGGTGACACCCCTACCTAAAGCAGTTTCCCTTGAAAACAATCTGTGCATCTGAAGACTGGAACCACCAATGTGTATTTTTGAACAATTCCTATACCTCCTGGAAAATTACTGTGATTAAATGGATTTGAGAAATAATGATTTCAGGTTACCAAAATTTTTATCATACTTGAACATGACTTTACATGAGTAAAAAATGTATGGAGATCTTGAAAAATCTGCCTAGCTTATCATCAGACCTTACCCAAAAGTATTTCTTACCTAAAAGTCACAGGTTTTGCTCTAGGTCTCTTGCTAGTCACAAGAGCTATCAGACAGTGATCACTTCTGTCAAATCTGCTGGTGATTGCGGTTCTATAGTTTTATATTGCATAGGCTTTTTCTTACTAGGAAACAAGAATCATCTGGCAGTTGTATTTTTAAAAAGAGCAATACAACTTATGAAGAAGTTAGTTCTTAAAATGGCAATGTCAGCATCAGTAAGAAGTATATGCAAAGCTGATTATCAAATATCTTAGTTTTTTTTTCTTTCTTTTAAAATAGGGTCTCACTATGTTGTCAAGGATAGTTTTGAACTCCTGAGCTCCAGAGCTTCTTCCACTTTAGGATCCCAAGTAACCTGGGACTACAGATGGCACTACCACATTCAGCTTTCAAATTTCCATTTCTTTAAAAATTATCAATTTACAAAATAGTATGTCAACTCCATGTACAAAATCTCACTAGTTATATAATGCAAGAAGAAAATAATTATTTAACTGGATATGCATTTTAAAAGTACATAAGTTTATTTAATTATTATCTAGTAACAAATTCCTCTAAATAAAAAGAGAAAATAAGTAACAAGATACACTATCAAATGAATGCTATAGAGTACTAAGGAAAGTTTAAATTATCAGAGATTTGAAAGAATTTTTAATTAATATTAAAATTGTGAACTGGTAGCCACTTCTGTTTTCTAATAAGAATATTATATAAAAAGAAAACTGAAAGCTCATTGAAGGGGTTAAATCGTTTATAAGATGACTAAAATTACTTAATTTAAATGAACTATTTTAGACCTTCAAGTGAATGATATGGTATTCAAAGAGTTATTTAAAAATAGGCTTTAACAATTTTAGCATTAGTTAAAAATTACTAATGGCCTAGGACTAATATACATAAGTATTTTATCAAACTCTCTCTATAAAGATTAGAAAGGGCTTAATACCACAGTCTGCTTCAAATCCCCATCTGTATCTCAGCAAAGTTATAGAAGCTGTCAACATCTCCAGATGCTGTCTCCTTCTTTTCTGATACAAACATCTATTTAAAATACAAAACAAACACAAGATTAGTTCTGTGGCCCTTAAATACCAAAGGCCACATATTTATAGAACAAAGTCATAAGCTTAGGGTTTTATCTTTAAGAAGTTTTTAGATTTACTTTTTATGTGTATGAATGTTTTGCCTGCATGTATGTATGTGTACCATGCACATGCTTGGTTTCTTCAGAGGTCAGAAGAGGTTGTTGGACCTCTGAAGCTGGAGTTGCATATGGTTGTAAGCCTACGGGTTAAAAAATATACTATAGATACAAGTACTATTGGTTGTAAGGGAAAGGAGATAAAAAGAAAAATTAGATTAAATTATAGTAAGATCTATACCTTTGTCCCGTTGAATATCTCATTTATGATAAGGTGACATCCTTCTACAGCACCATCTCCATTAAATTCCAAGGCAATCACAGGACCTAAAATGAACCCCAAGAAGTTTTTTCTCACCACGAATATAAATATTGTAAAGCTTATTCTTGCATTTCTTTTGTTTTAGATTTTTGACGTAGTTCACTATGTAGCCCTGAAATACACTATGTAGACTAGTCTGCCCTTGAACTTTTCTCCATCCTTCTGCCTTTACAGGTGTGTATTAAACCCAGCATTTATTTTTTTGATTCTTCTCTGAGAAATTTCCAGTATCTTCATCAGGTGGGAAAGAAGAAGGATGGAGATAAAAGGGTACATCATTTCAACTTTTTCCTATCCCTATCATAAGACAAATAAGCACTGAGTCTCATCCTAGGATGCCCAGCTCCCATACTATTACACAACTGTGTCACATTTTTAAAAATTATGTATGTGTGTGGGTATGTGTGCGTGTGGAGTGCAAGTGCCTTGTGGAGGACAGACGAGGTCATTGGACTCCCTGTAGCAGGAGTTATAGACAGTTGTTTCTGTGCTTCCAGATTTGGGTCCTGGTATCGGAATTCCAGTCCTTTGCAAGAACAGCAAGCATTCTTTAACTGCTAAGCCATCTTTCCAACCCTTACTGTCACGCTTTCAACTGTTGGAAACTGTCTGGTTTCTTTGGTTTTTATTTTTCTTTTTAAAAACAAAACAAATAAACAAAATCAAAGAATCTCCACTAATTTAGCAGTACAAAGACTAGTGGGCAAAATACCAAACAAGATAAAAACAATCCAAGTCAACACACAAGTCTTACCAGGCAGCCTGCCCTCCTTCCAGCTCCCCTACTTAAGCAGCCAAGTTCTAGCTCACCAACTATGGAAATAAATCAAAAGGGAATTGAGGCCAGGCACCAAAGCAATGCCTCTTTGAAAAAATTTTCCTTGAGTATGTTTTAAAGTTACATTCTAAAAGTAAATATCAAGCTTTTATTTTTAATCCTCTGAATAGAAAGATTTGTGCCTCCTTTCCCATCCATTAATTTGAATGCTTTTAAGACCCCCTCTGACTTACATTTTGAGTTAAATATTCATGATTTAATCTTTGGTAAGCCTGGAATGTAGCATAGATTTGTTGGCAAGCATGACCAAGGCCAATCAGACCAAGAAAATGTGTGCTTCAATTAATGTGTATTCAGCTATCACCATATTCCAAACAGATCAGCATTTTATTTCCTATGGTAATGGAGAAGTTTTGACCTCAAGGAGTTTACAAATATGTCTCAAAAATAGACATAAACTGATTAAAGAAACATAAAACAATATAGAATAATGGAGTACTACATCTGAAAAACCAAAATAAACAAATATGAATGCTAAGTTTAATATAGTTCTGAGTCCTGGACAAAGCACAAGAATGAGAAAGATCTCATTATATTTGGCACCAAAGTAACTGGAGGGTTGCAATTCAATACAGAAACACATAGGAAAGGCAAGTAATAAAACAGTCAACTGTACCCTCACAAAGATCTAGTGAACAAGCTAAACTAGGAGTTTATAGCATACAGTATCTATAGATTATGATAAGGTCAAAGAAAAGGCAACTGCTTACATTTTCTTACTCTTGGCAAAAAGGCTCTGTGGAAAATGTGGATGAAGGACATTAAGCCTATAGTTCACAAGCCTAGAGAAGCCAAATAACAAGGTGAACCCAAAGAAAAACATATATAGATCCTCCTGGAAATTGGAAGGGAACAAGATTGCCGGACAAAAGTTGGGAGCATGGGGGTGAAGGTAGGGGTGGAGGTAGGGGAAGGGGAGAGGGGAAGAGAGAAGGGAGAAATGAAAGACTGGAGAGAGCTTGGGGAAGTGGGAGCAGGGAGATGGAGGAAGGGTGAATATAGGAGCAGGGAAGAAGATATCGACATTAAAGGAGCCATTTTAGGGTTGACAAGAGACTTGGCTCTTGAGGGGATCCCAGGTGTCCACAGGGATGTCCCCAGCTAGGTCCCTGGGCAGCAGTGCACAGGGTGCCTGAACTGGCCTTGCCCCACTATCACACTGATGTTTATCTCGAATATCACCATAGAATTTTCGTCCAGCGACGGATGGAGATAGAGACAGAGACCCTCATCAGAGCAATGGACTGAGCTCCCAAGGTCCAGTTGAAGAGCAGAAGGAGGGAGAAGATGAGCAAGGAAGTCAGGACCATGAGGGGTTGGTCCACCCACTGAGACAGTGTGCCTGTTCTAATGGAGCTCACCAAATCCAGCTGGACCAGGACTAAATGAGCACACAATCAAACCAGACTCTCTGAATGTGGCTAAAAATGGGGCTGACTGAGAAGCCATTGATAAAGGCACTGGGACTTGTTTCTACTGCATGTACTGGCTTTTTGGGACCCTAGTCTATTTGGATGCAAAGCTTCCTAGGCCTGGATGTAGGGGGGAGGGCCTTGGACTTCCCATAGGGCAGGGTTCCCTGTCTTCTCTTAAGGAGGGATGGGGAGGAAGGAGGGTGAATGGAGGAGCAGGAGGGGAATGGGAGGAGGGGAGGAAGTATAAATTTTTGAATGGAAAAAAATAAATAAAAAAACAAAAAAAACCAGCATGATTCTTTAGAACCATGAAAAAAAAGAGGGTATCAAATGAAACCTTGCAGGGGGTAATTCTAAAGGTAGTTTAGAAAAAAGTTCTTATGTTAGAGAACCTATTCCAACCTACAGACCTATTTAAACAGCTTCACTGTGATGTAAAAAGATAATTATCAAAGCTCCTCACAAAATGAAAGGAAAGAGAGGGTCCTATTGAAGGAAAGAGAGGGTCGTGTAGTAGCATGGATGGAGGTGAAAATTGTCTCAATGTACCCTTTTATATAACTTGATATTGGAAAGCATGTCAGTATCTCAAAGCCAAAAGTAAATGCGGGGAAAAAGCAGTTCTAAAAGTTAAAAGCAAACTAAAATAAATGAATCTATCAAGTTAGTGATATGACCATACAAAGACTTATTCTATGCAAACTTAGAAGGCAATGCCTTGTCTGTATACCTTCAGTGGTATATGGCCTAAATATAAAAATACAGAAGGTGATCGAAAGCCAGTAACCTAGGCCAAAGTAGACCTGAGGCAACAAACTCCACTTTGGGCCAGAGCAGGACTGAGGCAACAAATTCCACAGGAGTGAGACTGAACCAGCTACCTAGGCTGTAGTGAACCTGAGGAAACAAGCTCCATGGGAGTAGGAGTTGTGAGCCAATCCAGTCCTGGGACACTGGTGGATCAGGATTGAATCAGGGTCCTGGTCCATGACAGCGAACTCCACCGGAACAGGTACAAGGGAGTAACTGCTGAGCGAGTGAGCCAGAGCCAGAGATTGCTGAGGGTCCGGATGTGAATTTGGGACCTTCAAGCCAGGACCGCTGTGGGTCTGGGCATGAGTCTAGACCTCTCAGGAACTAGGCCTGAGCCAGGACCTCTGCCAGTCTGGGCTTGAATCTGGGACCTTCGAGGGGGTAGGCAGGAACTAGAGATCTCTGTGGGGCCAGGCTTGAGTCTGAGACCTTTGAGGGCGTAAGCCTGAACTAGGTCTTCTGCAGTTCTGGGCACATCCAAGCCTGGGAACTCCAAGGCAGTAGACCGGAGCCAGAGACATTTGCAGGACCAACTCCAAGCCACAGACTTCTGCAGGAGGGGAATCCAGACTATGATTTACACAAAGAGGTCAAAGCCAACAACGAAGGTGAACTTAGGCCTGAGACAGCAAACTCCAAGGGAGTGGAGCAAAGCCCAGGAACACAGAGTAACCAATGGGGTAACTAGAACTGTGGCACTGACTGTACCACGAGGAACAACCATCTGAGCTTTGGATTCACTGGCACCTGGAAGATTAATCAACAGAATCTCAGACAGCCCCAACACCTATTAGCGGAAAAGATGAGTAGAAAAGGTAAGAACACATGCAACACTGCAAAGAGCAACACAACACTAGTAAAACTTAAAGACCCTAAAACAGCAAGACTTGAACAACCAAATATAGATGAGGCAGAAGAAAATGACCTAAAAATTAACTTCAAGAGAATGTTTGAAATTCTTAAAAAGGAAATGATAAATTCCCTCAAAAATAATAGAGGAAAAAGACAAACAAAAAAATGGAACACATCAGCAAATCCCTTAACTCACTCATAAGTGGATTCTAGACATAAACAAAGGACATTGAGCCTATAATTCGTGATCCTAGAGAAGCTAACATGAAGGTGAACCCAAAGAAAATCATATAGTTATCCTCCTGGATAGTGGAAGAGGGGGAGAAATGGGAGGAGGGAAGAAGGTGGAAATTTTAATAAATAAATAAAGCAATCAAATATGAAAGAAATTATTCAAGACTTGAAAACTGAAATAGAGACAATGAAAGAAACACCAGCCAAGGGAATTATAGAAACATAAATCATGAGAAAATGATCAGGAACCACAAACACAAGCATGAACAACAGAATACAAGAGATGGAAGAGATAATCTCAAGCACTGAAGATACAACAGAAGAAAGAGACTCATCAGTTAAAGAAAACATTAAATCTAACAAAAGCTTAACACAAAATATCCAGGAAATATGGGACATGAAGTAAAGGCCAAATCTAAGAATAGTAAGTATAGAAGAAGGAGAAGTTCAACTCAAAAGCACAGAAAATATATTTAACAAAATCATAGAAGAAAACTTTCCCAACCTAAAGAAAGATATGCCTATTAATATACAAGAAGCTTACAGAACACCAAATAGACTGGATCCAAAAAAAAAGTCCTCTTGCCACATAATAATCAAAACAATAAACATAAAGAGTAAAGAAAAAATATTAAGAGCTGCAAAGGAAAAAGGACAAGTAACATATAAAGGTAGACCCATCAGAATTACACCTGACTTCTCATTAGAAACAATGAAAGCCAGAAGGTCATGGTCAAGTGTTATGCAGTAATTAAGAGACCACGGATGCCCGCCCAGACTACTATACCCAGCAAAACTGTCAATAACCATAGAAGGACAAAACAAGATATTCTATGACAAAACCAGATTTAAG